TTTTTTACTTGCTGTTGATTGCTAATGAAACACTGAAAATACAAAAATATAAAAAAAAAATTTAAAAAAAATCCTCATAACCAACAACTCTGGAAAGCATACGTTGTGACACTAACAACAGACTGTACATCTGTCCCCTCACAGCCTTGTTTTCTTGCACAAAAATGAAATAGAATGTGTACCCTGACTCAAGTCTATGGTAGTTTTGCTAATCAAAAGGCTACTGATTGAGTCAGAGAGTGAGCTATGAGCAATGCCATCGAGCTTAGCACGCAACCTCAGGTGGCTTCGGGCAGACTGTCCTTGTGTACTCACTTCTGGATAAAAAGGTTTAGCTGAACTGACTATAAATTCTGTACCAAGAAAGAGTGTGTTAGACCAACCTGCTTGCCTGAAATATAGTTTGGCTGCTAATACAGCGGCTGGAGGTTCTGTTGATAAGGTGACTCAGGAAATGAATGCATGCTGATGATGATTTGTGGCTGTTGCTAAAATCAGTGTCCAGTTAGAAACAAGGGTATATGTTCATCTGGCTTCATTTAAACCAGAGGTTTTCAACCTTTTTGGCCCCAACGCCACCCATTGTCTATTCAGAGTCCTCATATAGGCTAGGATATTTTCTTTTATACATTTTCTGTTATGATGAAAAAGCTTTTTTATGAAAAGGAACTAGGAGTGTCAGCAGCAAATTAAAATAATTAACTGCATTTCAATTTTGTGATTCCGGATGTTTTAAGATCTGCATGTTCTTCAATAAAAAAGCAGAGGGGATTAGATACATTTCTTAATAAAATAAGAAATATGATGTCAGTTTACACGTTGTATCACAGGTGAGCAAGATTATTTTAATATAATTTATAATTTTAACATCTTGTGCTCTCAGCATGCCTTTTAGATGAATACAAGTGGTTCACTGGATTGTAATCATCAGGGAACCACTATTGTTGCAAAGCATCAGCAGAGTCCGGATCCATTTGCAGCTTTTATCGAGTAAACAGACAAGACAGGGTCAATCACCAGTAGATACAATAGCGGAGGCTAGGCTGAGACAAAACGAGGGACAGGCAGGAGGTCGGGGCAAGCGGCAGACAATCACAGTAGAAGAACAATCCCAGTCAGGGCAGGCAGAGACTAATCAGAAAACGATAAACAGTCCAAGGTCAAACGAGTAGGCAAGAAACAGGGTAAACGCTCAGTAGTGACAGCCGGGGCAAATCAAGACTTCGCAGAGAGCTGATGTGAGTGTCCGGCTTAAATGTGTGAGTGTAATTAGATGCAGGTGTGTGCGTGCAATCAGTCCCAGGTATGAGGCATGATGGGAATTAGAGTCCGAATGGATAAAGTCAATATTCAGGAGAGAGTTCCCTCTGGTGGTGAGGAAGAGGCGGTACGGGAGCCTCCTCTGTAACAGAGCCCTCCCCCTGCGAGCGGCTCCTGACGCGAGGAGGCAAGCGACGCCGGAGTCTACCACGAGGTCGAAGGGCCGGTTTCTCTGGATGCGTCCTGTGAAACTCTTCTGTGAGTGTGGGGACGAGGATATCTCCGGCATTGACCCAGGATCGCTCCTCCGGTCCGTACCCCTCCCAATCGACCAGATACTGGAGGGTGCCACCCCGGCGCCTGGAGTCAAGCAGCTCGTGCACCCGATACGCCTCCTCGCCGTCGTTGTAACCAGTCTGTGACTGAAGGGAGGTCGGTGGGCTCGCCAGCCCAGGGGAACAATGGCGGTTGGAAGCCCAGCATGCATTTAAAGGGGATCACCCCTGTGGCTGGTTTCATGAGGGAATTTTGTGCATATTCTGCCCAAAACAAGTACCTGCTCCAGTCTGATTGTCATTGCTGGCAATATGATCAAAGGAACCGGATAATCTCCTGATTCAGGCGTTCTGTCTCTCCGTTGGATTGGGGATGGTAGCCGGATGTGAGACTGATGTTTAGAGGTGTTTGAAGAAGGCAGTCCATACCCTTGAGGTGAACTGGGGACCCCGGTCTGAGACAATGTCCTCAGGCAGACCATAGAAACGAAACACATGATTGCACAGTAATTCAGCAGTTTCAAATGACGTGGGGAGTTTAGGCAGGGGAATTAGACGGCATGCTTTGGAAAATCGGTCTATAATCGTAAGTATAGTGGTATTACCTTGAGAGTTGGGCAGGTCGGTGATGAAGTCAATGGCGATGTGAGACCAAGGGCGTTGTGGCGTGGGCAATGGTTGTAACAGGCCTGCTGGTAGTTGTCTGGGTGATTTAGAAGTGTTGCAGGTAATGCAGTTTTGGACGAATTTGGTGGTATCAGATAACAGAGTAGGCCACCAGAATCGGTTCTGGAGCAGATGTGCAGTGGCAGTGATTCTGGGGTGTCCCGAGCTGGGCAGAACATGTACTTGTGTCAATAGATGCTCTCGTAGTGATTCAGGAACATAGGTGAGATTGGGGGGACTTTCAGGAGGTGGTGGACTCTGGAGGTTCAAGTTGTTTGCTTCGGTCATGATGCCCCACTGCACGGGTGCGATGAAGAGTTTCTCAGGAAGTATACTTTCTTTGACGTTTGAGCAGAACGTCTCCTCGGTTTGACTAGGAATTCACTCAAACTTTTCCCCTCATCTCGACAAGCCAACTCTGACTGGAGCTCCGAATTCAGTCCCCTCCGAAACAGGAGTTTTAATGTGTCCTCGACCCAAACTGTCTGGGCAGCAAGGGTGCGAAAGGACAGGGCGTACTCGGTCGCTGGTCTCCTTCCTTGCGAAAGTGTTAACAGTTGGTCACCTGCACTTTTCCCCTCCGCAGGATGTTCGAAGACTTCGCAAAAGTGTTGGAGAAATGTTGTGAAGGTGGGGAATGAGGAGCCATCCATTCCCCAAACGGCGGTAGCCCAATCCAGCGCCTTCCCGGTAAGCAATGAACACACAAAGACAATGCGGCTAGAGTCCGTAGGGTACAGTGAGGGCTGTTGATTAACAAAAAGCGAACACTGAAGCAAGAACCCTTTGCATCTGGCAGGGTCTCCATTGAATTTCTCTGGGAAAGCTAGTCGTGGGCTCACTGGTGATGTTAGGGGTGGCGTGGTGTAACTAGGCGCGGCCGCAGCCGCGGCTG